CCCCAGATGGTCTTCTCAGTGTATGTCCAATCCAATCTAATCCATCTCCACTCTCTTCTTCAGCATATTTGTTGGGCGATGGTTTGTTGGTTGGTTGGTTCCTTGCCAGCTAACAAGCCAGCCAGCGAGAGTTCCTCCTTACTTATTCTTATTATTCTGGCCTTCTGATCTTCAATGTCAGTATCGAGTGAGTGAGTGAGTGAGCGTAGGCGGCAACTGTTGGTGTGATGTATGTCTGGAGTTTGTTGGGAATGCTTTTCGTAAGGCGCCAAGTCTCCCAACCATCATATAGAAGCACTGACTTGCTTGACTGACATTATTGTTGAAAATCCGGATGTTGTTCACGCTTTATGCTGAGTCGAGTCGAGTGTATTGGAGTCGAGTGGAGTGCAGTCGGTCTCCACACTGATTTCGGATGAAGGAAGGAAGGCCTATCTTTGTGTGTTTCCGATGCTGGGTTTGACATCCTCATCTGTGCCACCACCGCCGCCGCCGCCTGTGGTAGTTGGAAGGATGCCGCTTGTGAAGGTAGGTGAGTAGGTAGGTAGGTAGTTAGGTAGGTGACAGAGACAACTTTCTTTAAATTTCTCCCATTGATGGTGATTGCGGCTTGCTGTTGGTGTTGGTGGTGGTGATGGTTGGGTATCTTCATCACCTGTGTCTTTTCCGCGTTCACCTGAATGAATTTCGATCTTCCTTGGCTGTCCTGCCTCATTTGCCAACTTGTTGGTTTTCGCCTGAACACCTTCGAGTTTGTACGGCATAAGATATTAGACATAAATCATCATCGGCGGCGAAATCCAGCTCTTCTTTGGCCTTTTTTCATCGGTCAAACAGCGTATGGCCATCTTCTCACAGCTCCTCACAGTTGTCTGCTGCATCATCCAGTCTAGTCGAGTCGAGTCGAGTGGAGTCGACCACAATGAGGAATATGATGTGTGATAGTAGGCGGCAGTCTTGTCTTACTCCTGTCCCCTGTCTTCACTTCAAAGTCGTCCGTGAGCTTTCCATTGTGAATGCCTTGACATATAGCATTGTCGTACAGCATATAGCTGCTGTTGAATGAGGTTGATGAAGGTTTGTGTCACTAAAGCCGTCGTGTCGAAGCAGCAGCTTTCTAGTTACTTGTCGATCGATGCCTCAATCGAAGGTCTTTTCAAAATTGATGAAGTTGAGTTAGATTTGAGTTGACTGTCATTCTATGGTGTGTTTTATGATGATGCTAAGCGTGTCGTTGCGTTGCGATTTGATCCGCACATGATTTGTTCTTCCTGAAGCCAGCCAATCTGTTCCGTTCGTAATTTTTAATTCAGAGCATTTCTGAGTCACTACAGGATTATGAGGCTTAATATCCTGCTTGTTGTTTACAGGAGTATGAATCCGCACCAGTTCTTTCAAAGACTTATATCGCCCTTTTTTAGAAGCCTGACAAGGTAGTTCTTTTTCCAATCTCAGGTACCTTTTCTTCCTCCCAGACCTTCTGCAATAGTGGTGTGAGCATGTCCACTGTTGTCTTTGCGTCTGTTTTTAGTGCTTTTGACGGAATCCCATCGTGTTCTGCTGCTTCGCGACTTTCAGCAACCTTATTGCGCTCAGGACTTTTGCTCTTGACGCAGTTGGTTATAGCATTTCTGGCAGTTCACTAACCTAGAGTAGTAAAGTATAAAAAGAACCTAAGATATTACTCTGAAAAAGAAAATGGGTTTTTCATCTAATTGCCTTTCGTTTAACCTCACTTCCAATCACCTACATCAAAGGTTGTAAACCTTCAGTTCGCAAATTATTCACAGGTTACGCGATCCACCCTGACATTTCTCACAGCTAGTTAGTAATTCAGCTGCCCGACTGTGGTATCATACACATCAGTGGGAGTGGTTTCAAACTGGTCACGTTGTTCAGTAGCATATTTCATTGTAAACTTTCGTCAGCTTTGGTGTTTGGTATATGTCTCACCTGTCAAGTGTAAGATGATGTTCCAGGACTGATCTATAAATACTCGTAGTTTAATGATAGAGAGTGAACTCGTGGAAGATGTCGGCCGCTTGATATACTTAGGGAGTTGCATCATCCTGAACGGTCTGGTTGCTGACGAAATCTCAGCTCGAATACAGGAGGTCCTTTTGGGATTTGTGCCGAATGGCAAGAAATCCGGCTATCTATCAAAGGACGAGACTACTGCGCTATAGTTCGTTCTGTCCTGTTGTACGACTGTGAAACGTGGCTGTTGAAAAGTAGAAAACATGATGCGATAACTGAGTTTTCATCATAGGTGTCTTCGTAGCATTGCTCGTGTTTGGTGAAATCACCGTGTGAGCAATGTTGACGTCAACCGAAGGGTACTAGGCAAGACAGGCAAGTCGATTGGTGAGTTTGTGAACCTCAGTGAACCGAAATGGCTTGGATATGTACTGAACATACCGAGAGAGCCACTGTCTACCTCGGCGCACCATGTTAGGGGAAGCTGGACTAGGTTGGAAGAGAGTTCAGAGTAGCCAGACCAAGGTATGGTACTAGTCCATGAAATCTCTGATTGTTGGTTTGAGGCATGTGGGAAGATTTAGACTTCTTGGTTGGGGTCTCCAAGTCGAAAGGAATCAGTGGTTAAGGACACTTGGTTGAAAATTGGTTACATTGTCCAGATGTATTCACCAACCTTCATCTTCAGATTGTTTATTCTCTCACACAACTTTGTCGAATTCGATATCACTCTTATTCTGTCCACCTTTTCTTTGTATTCTATTGTGAAGTGTGATAACCTGAACTGATGCACTTCTGTGCAAGGTTCTATACTGATTTTGTCTATCAACTTATGTCATTAGGACGTCTGTTATGGATCTTAAGCTACCGTCTATTTGAACGTGATATGTTGACTGGATGAATCATGAACAAGTTGAACAAACACAAAGCTGACCGTTTCAAAACGTGACATCCATGCATGAAGTCTCGGATTATTGACTTAGGATGTGTAGAACAATGTAGAGCTTTCGGTTGGGGTACATTAGGTAATTAGAATAATTGACCGGAGATTTTAAGCGACATGGTTCAAAATATTAACTGATGTATCACGTTTCGTTGTTCTTTTTACCTTCGACTCTGATGTACACATGCTCACTTTATAGACTTACACGATTAGTGAGTAACGCTAGGTCCTATGCAGATAATGTCTGTCTATCTCTATCTGTAGTGACCTGATACTCCAAAAATTTGGTCGACCTTCTTTCACTTAACACCGCACTTAACCACTAAAATCGTTCATTCATTGGTTGCCCTGAATATCACTAGGCTTCCTAAGATGTAAGTAGTTGTTTGTAATCGTTCTGGTTTCGATATCAGTAAAGTAAGCTGGGCTTGGGCTGCTTGGTCTTTTAATGTGACTATTGTAGTTTTCTCCAGGTAGAAAAGTTAAGTATTCATTAAGTTAAGTATTCATTGTGTCTGGCCAACTTTATCTCCAGCATCAATTCTTTGTAGCTGAAGATCGATCCATCCTGGAGCAATATTCTTCTCCATTCAACGGGCTTGAAAAGAATAGCCAACAAATATACTTTCTTTCCCCAGAATATATGAAGAACTTCACTTTATATAATTGCCGCTATTCTTTAAAACACTGCTCCCTCAAGACTGTAATTCTATGAAGTGAGGAATTAATGTTAATTTTTAAGCCTCACCGTTTTGATCCCTCCTCTTATATCAATCACTAGGAATGCTGGTCACCCATCAGGACCATCTGACTACTATCATACTACAGAAGAGAATTAGAATCACTTGTAGGTTTTTCACACTGTGATATTGTCCACTTTCGGTTTTACAGCCTTCTGCTTTCTTTCATTAGCAGTGGATTAAGTTAAGAAACAAGCACTGTAACCAGTGTCAATGGACTAAGTTTTAACGATTGGCAAGCCTTATTGTAAGATTGAGGATATTAGTCACAGCCAAGTTTCAGTTTCATATGTTGTAAGTTTTTTAGATGATAGTTTGATCATACTCCTTATTCTACCAAGTACAGTCGATAGCTAAATATTCGATCGCTAGTATGACCTGCAGCAATATCAAGGTTAACACAAGATCAATACATTTTACACTGGCTTCTCACAAGACTACTTATGTAACATTTAAGTAGTATAAGTTCATGAACAAAAACTAAACTGATAACTGCCTATATTATTCAATCTTGGAGATATATAGCTTCATCATTCAGAAATTATTGTAATCCCTAAAGGATATCTGGATTTTATTTCGTCACTTAAACATATACAAAAGTTCTGCATACAGCTGAGAACTTTATCTTAATTATATCTTTTGTGTTTAACATTTTCAGCTCCGCATAAGTCTTGTCCAAAAACAAGAGACGATAAATGATAAAATGTAAGGTGAAAAAGTGAACGCTACCATTAAGTGGATTAGATTGTACATCCAAGATAAGTTTTCAAGCCTCACATGTTGATTACTTCCGTAAAAAGCGATAAAGAATGAGACGCAGGGCAGAATGTTTATTATGATATTTTGTACAGTAGTGATGAAATATTGTACACTTTCCATTAAAACAGTCATTTGCATAATGTGTTTCATTTCCTCTTCTGCTTCTATCTCGATTTGGTCTTCATACGCCCACATTGTCTCTTACGTTTCTCTGGATAGACTATTTACGCATCTTTGGTAATGGCCTATGACTTCTCCCGACCTCTCAACATATACTACTTATGCCCATTATGATCAGCAACGCCCACAACACTTCCAGTAGATTGTTCTCACCGCTTCAATAGTCTTACTCAAATAGCTAAGTCGTCGTCCAAAAATTTGCTTATCCCACTATGATTCAGGTTGTGAATGATTGTCTTAGTATGCATAATTTATAGCTTGGTCGATATGACGTAATGCGTTCACTATAGAGGTGAAATTCAGATGAAGTACTCAACACTTTCACGTTAAATTCCTAATATTGTTTAATTAACTTGAAATTCTATCCCAATTGATTTCCTTTCTGACTTTTTTTCGCCTAGATAATTCACCGAATTCAAGTCAGGAGTTTGAAATGTTACTGATACCTCCATCTTCATTGTCGACATCATCGTCATCATCATCGCTGGGTTACATTAGTGGTCATCCCAGTTCAATGTGCTCAACTCCTACAGAAACTGAATTTTTCAACTCATCTGCTTCATCATTGTGTTCTAGTTATAGCAACAACAATAATAGTAACAACAGTAGTGTTAATAGCAATTTAGCGTCGTCAGTTGAATGTGGTTCCTCCTCATCGTCATCATCATCAACTGGTTCATGTTGTTCATTTCAACCACAACAACCCTATAATGGTGTGAAACACTCTGACCTTTGTGATAATTTATTTTCGAGGTCGATTAACTCGAGTACAACTTCCACAACCACCGTTAGTAATAGTATTGCAACCACCACTTCCACTGGTGTTAATGCTTCTAATGGATTAGTGAAACTCGTCAGACCATCCTATATTCATGTACAGAATCGACAACATGAAGAATTATGTTTGATGTCATCTAAGAATAATGGCAAACCCGTTTGGCAAATGAAATTTGGTCGAAAACAGCATGTTTACAATCATACAATGTTGAACAACACTTCATCACCTTCATTCATTACACGATTTCGTTTTCATCATCATCATCATCAAAATCAGTATATAAATCATCAGTCTAGACGCCGTTTCACCCTTATGCCAAAAAAACCATCTTATTTAAATGATCAAGTTGAAAATCAAATGTATAACATTCATTCAACTCAAATGCATTATGATTATTCTCCTAGTCCGGCAATACAACTGACCAATCAAAATATTACTAATTATCAAGAACAAAATATCCACTACTCCAATCCTGACCTTTCCGCCTACACATTTCAGTTGTCCCCGTCTATTCCAGACAGTCATCACAAAGAAAAACCTTTCTGTAATAATAATAATAATAGTGGTAATACTGATAATGTGATGAACAATCCAGTCGGTAGGAAAGATAATTTTTTGCACAGTATTCCGTTAAGAAGGGAGAAGCATGAATTTGCATCTGTTAGGTCATCACCATTACCTTCTTTACCCACCACTAGTATTACTGATATGACCCATACTACCACTGCAACTGGTGATATGTCTTCAGTAATGTGCAAAAGTCCTTCTAGAAATTACTGTAGCAACTATCCAATTAGTCCGCCTAATCCTGTTCAAAAGAGACTGCATTTGTTACAGTTTATTAGTAAAATTTTACAATATTCTTCTGAATCTTCTTCTTTATTCACATCTTGTTCGACAGCTTCTTCGCCCTCTTCAACTTCATCTTCTACTCATCCTACTTCCACACTCATTTCTTCTGTATGCTCATCAACAATGTCTCCTGCCTCTACATCTTTACATCCTGGCAGTCAACAAGATCAGTTTATTCTACATCTTTTCACTCCTAATTCACAATTTCTTAATTGTGTACAATGGATTGATAAACAGGCTCGTATTTTTCAGATAAGAAATCCACAAAAGTTATCTCAACTCTGGGGATACTATCGTAAAATGAAAATATGACTTTTGAATCAGTTAGTCGTAGTTTAAGGTAAGTAGATCTTTTCATGCTTTTGTTAATGAAATCTGCTATTTGTTTCCATGTCAGCAAAATTGAACAGGAAAGAATGCTCGTTTCTGGAAGTTGCAAGTTGCAATCACATTTAGTAGCTCTTCTATAGGCGACACCTATTGTAACTTTGTAGGCTACTGTCTATAACTTATCTCTTCAAACTGGTGTGTAAGGATTTGAATTTCAGCAAGTTGAATAAACCTCACTGAGATAAAAATTAAATCTAACTGATAAATTTGAAATAAAACGAAACGTAGATCCGCTATTCTACTGCCGCACGCCGACAAGTGGCATCAAAATTGCTACTTTAACGTTATGCTACTTTTATTTTTAAAAGTAGTATAATACTAAGCCATGCAAAATTAGTGTGAGTGGTTTCTAACTTCTTTTGTTGTTCAGTAGTATATTTCGACTAAATATTAATTTGAATGTTGTCAGGTTATATGTTTCAAACTAGGAATTCAGCACCATAGTAGATGATTTTCATTTTTCAAGCCGTAGCATAAGTTATGACCTGGGTATGGAAATCTCCGCTACATAGAAGGATGAAATAATTTTGTACTTTAATGCATGTCCTTTACCTATCTGTATACACCACCTATTGAGCTGAGAGATCTCGTGTAATTTTTTCCCTTTCATCCTACTCATTTTCTTCGTACTACTCTAGATAGTTAACGTTGCTTAAGTCTGACAGCTTTGAGCGCTTACTGACTTGGACACTACCACCCACTAGGTTTACGCGTTTAGGCTTTAACCCTGTTTACTCAGCTTTAGTCATTCGCCTATATAAAATGGATGTGGCACGTAGTTTAGGGTATGGAAACTGTATTTTGTCGTCTAGCTGCATCCACTTTATCCAAGTCTCCGATATGCGGTGATCTCACTTCTTCAGATACCTTTTTAAGAAATATCTCATGATTATATCTCACTTAAAATGAGAACTCACAACGTGGACACCATGAGATCCTCCATACAAGACAATATAGCAACACTAAGAAGGCAAAAGTGTGACGTGGTACAAGAAAAGAAAAGGGAACAAAAACAAAAGTGGTTTATCACAAAGGTAGTCTCAAAGATCCATCACAAGAAGTAATCACTACACTCGTTTCACATTTCTGCTACAGTAGAAGCAAAAAAGCTGAGGTATGATCACCGTTGGTTTCGATTTCGAGTTATATCTGCTATCTTCTCAAGTCACTGAGTTGCGTTACCTCTTATCCCCATCCATGGAGTCGTGAGACACCTACAACTGCTAATCCAATACAAATATTCTTCATCCTATGGCATCATTTCACACTCTGGAAGTCTATCTGTTTCTTTTAAACAGTTCCAGAGTCAGCAAATAGTCAGTGATGTGGAAGCTTTTGGAACGACATATGTAACACATGTGTAACCCGCTAAACGTAGTGTTCTAGGATGATCACACTCTATGAATGACGATCTCTACCACTCCTGATCACAGGCTGATTCATCTCAGAATTACTTACATGGTGTTTCCATCGGATGCAAGTGATCCTGTAGAGACAATCCATTCCTTTTGGTCTTTCAGATATCTTGTCAAAACAATTTCTACGGTGTGGGCACTTGTCTAGTACCAAATACACATATGCTTCCAATACTATACAAAACTCAATCGGACATAACCTACCCTCCTCATTTTCGTCTACATCATCACCTTCACTTTTGACAATAGTGTTACGCCTCTCAAAACCTCCTCAACCTCTCATCCTGCAACCATCACTAAAAATCCCAGCCAGTGAAATACGATCTCCACTCTCCTAATACCACACTGTCAATTTCACTTAGCATCTTTGAGAAACCAAACCCTATGCTAAATTGAACCATAGGTATCTCCTACCAAACATCTGGAATCTCGAGTCATGGATGTATGCTGTCTCCAAAACGCTCATAAAGAACCCAAGTTGAGTTACTCACTCGACCTCATTTAACCAACTTGGTGAATCTACAACCTGGAGATTCAATGGTTAGCTCACGACAATTCTTAAGCAGAAAATGTACATATTGACTAGATACCATTTCACAGCCAACTATACACTGACCGGTTAGATAAACCTGAAGGAACCGGAAAAACCCGTGACACTGGTTGATGCCTATTCGTAATCTCCACCTATGTGTCCACCAACTGCATTTCGGATGATAACAAGTACGAGTTCTGCTGTAAGCTGTCAGTTTTGATACATCAAACAAAACGTTCAGGCATAATCATAGTGACGACCAACTCCTACACTCAAGTAGGAAAGACAAATTAATGGGAAAGACATTCTGGAGATATCTGCAGGATTCCATGACAACAAACTAAACCATCCTTTTGTTCGAACACTTACTTGTTTCTGGTCAGGACTAACTTCAAGCACAAAGAGATCCACTATCTCACTTGGCGTTGGCCGATATCAAACCAACGGTGAACACAGATAGATCATATCGATATGAACCATCGTTAGAGAGAATCGGTAGAAGCTTGACACTCTTCCATCTAGAGTACCTGTTTGGACTCTGGTTGATTACTCGTTAGTACAGTCACATGTATGTTTATGCCTTACTGGTGTTAGGATTTACGGTTGCGAAGCTTTTGTGTGCTCCATTGGAAGATGATAATGTCAACCGAGTATTTAGGGAGGAGATTGTTCAGTAATTGTCTGTACATGGTGGCAATTCTCTGTGCAGTCAAACCTGATTTAATATTTAGTCTGTTGTAGAAACAGTGATAAAGAGTGTTGGTAACTTGCACCTGAAGGTTAGAAAAAGTCAGTGTAAGTCTTTAATCGCATCTGAAATGATTGATGCGAAAAGACTCATTCCAGTTGGCTGCGACTACAATGAAGAGTGAAAGTAGTTCAAAGGTAAACTGACTAAGAGTCATCCTAGTGATAACAAGTAGGGGTGGGCGACGAAAGTGAAGGAAGGTGAAGGAATCAGCATTAATTAATAGTACTCGACAGTTATTTGAGATTACTAAGGATACTGGCAAGATGATGGTAATTGAGACTATCACCAAAAAGAATGGATCGCTGATAAGGAAAGAGGTATGAAATTGCTGAGTACAATAACGGAGGTGCAAGGTTGTGCTTGGCAATGAGACATATTCCTGTTAGACTCCTCTACTTCACTGATCATTCCAGCCTGTAAGAAAGGAGAGAAGTCTTCTTTTAGCAACCGTAAAGAAGTCAGTCCAAGATCCTAGAGTTCATAGTTATTCGACGCCTAAAAGGAGCTTGAGAACAAAAAAAACTCGAGAAAACCAGTCAGGTTCCAGATCTTGACGAAGTTGCATCGATCATATTTTCACCCTTCGACAGCTTCTGGTACACAGCCACACTTACCGGTGACCGACACCTGTCATATTTCTTGACTTGAAGGAAGGATTTGACTATATCGACCGTGGGGTGTTGTGGCACTATCTAAATGTGAAGTGAATACTGAACAATTATGTAATGTTAATCAAGTTTGTATGCTCGAAATAACACTATGGTGTGGGGTCTTATAGAGAGTGGATGACAACCAGCGGTGTCCTCTAGGGGTACCCGCTGTTACCACTTCCGTTTAACTTCGTTAAAGGTGTATTAATCGACATAACCTGATGTACCTCTCACTTCAAAGGGGTTGATCTACCTTCTTTAGGGTATCTGGTTGACTTGGAGTACGCAGACAATATTGTCCTGCTATGTGAAGACTCTAACAAGATGCGGCGTCTTTTAGACGCGTTGAACAGAAATCTGAGTATGTGGAATGTGTTAATTACTCCACTCAATTGGGGAGTTATGTCAGCTCGAACGGGCTGGTTGGTGACGAAGTCTTAACTCGGATACAGAAGTTTCGTTTGGGATTTGCTAAATTGCGTCTACCTATTTAAAGACAATTATACTCCACTGCGCTTCACCATATCCTGTTATGCAGCTATCGTAATACATGGCCACTGGAAGTAGAAGATATGAAGAGACTACAGGTTTACGAACAAGGTTGTTATTTGATTAGTTCTTGAACCTTCAGCAACTGGAGTGGCTTGGATATGTATTCCACATGCCTAGGCATCACTTAGCTCAGCGTGAAATAGGACTAAGTTGGAATACGACTAAAATTGGTCAGATCAAGACGTAATATCATTTCACGAAGTCTGTGACTGTTTTTCTGAGTCGTGTATTAAAGTTTCTGGCTAAAGTTCTCAAGACGGTAGGAATCAGTGATTGGACTCTCTCTGAAAATCGGTTTCAATGGCGTAGGTCTCTTCACTCTTTAATGTCTTCTAAAGGCTGGACATTTTTAATAACCTTGATTTTTAAATTTTTTTTACTCCAATATACTACTGTCTATTCTGATAACAATCTTTTTCTAGCCACTTGTTCTTTGTATACTACTGGGACGTTTGATAACTTGAATCGACCCACTAGTGTACAAGGTTCTAAAGTGATTTTATCTGGCCGTCTTTATGTTATATATGTATCACAACATCTCAAGATAAAGCAACTAACTTTCGATAAGGTTATTAGAAGATGAAGATTATCTGAAAAATATGTGATGTGTATTTGCGCAATATATTTTAAACAATTCGATCACACACACGTTTACTTGTCAAATCAATTTATATATGAAAATGAAAGGTCAAGGAAAATGGATATGAAAAGCTTGTAACACGAGTCTTGCTAATATAATCAGATTACCAAGGTAAATTAAGTGAAACAAAAAATTGTTATTTTTTGTACATACAATGGGAGTTTAAGTTTATGAACTGCTAACGCTTCGACGAATTTCAGTATGCGCCTTTGGCTGTTTTCGTATTAACCTTATGATCCAACATATTCGAAAGAGCTACTTTTATTATGCACTGATAAGGTTCATTTCACTTTCACTATGGCGAGTCCATTAGGACTGTTATTAACTGATATATATATGTCACATATTGAACTTAATGTCTCAGGATATAGTCAGTAATGTCACATTCTGTAGACGGTATGTTGATGATATCTTTGTAATATGTGACATAGATGAGGATCTTGTGGGTTTGTTTAAAAGGCTTAATATCGTACAAGATCATATCAGTCTGACATGTGAGGAATTAAAACACCAGCATTTCTTGATATACACTTGTATCGGAGGGAAGATGGATCTACCGGGTGATCAATATGTAGAAAGCCTACTTGGACAGAACAGTACTTGAGTTTCTACAGCTTTTGTCCAATGAAATATAAGACAGGCTTAACAAGATGCTTATTCAATAGAATCCAACGTAGTTGTACATCTGATTCAATGGATGATGAGAATAAATTTCTGACAGACACACTTATGGAGAACGGACATCCATTACAGTTTGTGAGACGTTGTAGATCCCAAAGCCTATAATTTCCTCAGTCTCGAAGAGAGAGATATCTCTTAAAGTATCATACAGAGGGGAAACGAGTAGTATGATATTGCAACAGAGATAAAAATCTGTTATCAGTGAAACATACTATGCAGCTCAGCTTATCATTGTTGAGACAATAAAACACCCACTTCGCCACAAATCTCAACCTCGTATAAATGATTATGTCACATTCCACTGTATTTACCAAATTACATATATGTGTGTGTGGGTACACATACATGGGGAGGAGTAATTGTGCTATGCAGACTAGGGTGGGTGAACACATACCTAAATGGCTTGAAAACAATTTAATACACAAACTTTGATAAGTATATGTGACAGACACCCATCTTTATCTATAGCAAAACATATCATTGAAATGAATCACAGGGGTAATACGAAAACAGCCCTCAAGATATTATATAGGAATAGCCAAAGGCGCATACTGAAATTAGTCGAAGCGTTAGCAGTTCATAAACTTAAACTCCCATTGTATGTACAAAAAATAACAATTTGTTGTTTCACTTAATTTACCTTGGTAATCTGATTATATTAGCAAGACTAGTGTTGCAACCTTTTCATATCCATTTTACTTGACCTTTCATTTTCATAACTACGTGGTAGCTCAGTTGGTAGAGCATCGAACCGGAAACTCGGTGGTCGCTGGTTGTAATCCGGTCACTGTCCAAATTTTCATCTCACCTTCAATCATCACCCAGTAACAATACTAGTCTACCAAACTACGGCTATCTCAGATGGCGAAATGATAATAAATTGACTTGACAAGTAAATGTGGGGTGGGGGATCAGATTGTTTGAAATGTATTGCGTGATTACACATCACATGTTGTTGAGATAATAATCTTCTAATAACCTTATTGAAACCCATTAAAGGAACTAATTTAGAGGTATTCATGATGGACTGACATGAGTTGGGGAACCATTGAAAATGTAGAAGCATTGGACAGCTATTTTATCCTAATACGCACCCACAACCTGGCTGGGGTTCGTACTCAGGACCTTCGGGTTTCACGGCCAACGCGTTAACCACCCAGCCACTGGAGTCAGTTTTCAGTGGTTTACAGTTTCCAACTTCTGTCAGTTCACGATAAAGCGCCACTGTCACCTAACGTCTTCGGTTGGCATCCCCTTTACTTCCGACTGATTGACCCCACAGGTCACAGCTTCTCATTAGAACTTCGTGATATCCATCTGGAAGCATGACACTAATAAGCACTATACAGTAATGTATTTTTGAGATAAATGGGGATTTTTAATTTAGAGGTAGTATATATCACGGACTGAGATCAGTTGGGGAACCATTGAATATCTGAAAGCTCTGGACAGCTGTTTCGTCCTAGTATGGAACTCCTCAGCAGTACTCACCCACAACCCGGCTAGGGTCTAATTGTTGCAAAAGCAATTAACATTCAGTCGGTCGTGGTTCTAATGGGAGAAAAGGGGATCATTGGAAAACAACACGAAAGACAGTATATCTCGAACGTGGATGCCATTTGAATGAACTAGGTTGATTATAAGGTTTCAACATTCTATTCGTCGTAGTCAGTGTACCTTTTTAAGAAAATTCCCTATCGGTCAGGAAGAAAGGCATAAATTGATTTAACTCACTGTGTAATATTAAGTACACTGTGAAAATAGATAAATATTCAATGTATACTGTGATCATCGATAATTAATCATTATCAATATGATTATTTTCTCTCTCTCTCTCTCTCCGTTTCTGTTTCTTTTTTTCACATTTTCATTTTCTCTAGACTTTACTACGTCTCTGGGAAATTGGAACGTATTCGGGGTCAACGTAATCAATATCGTTTTTTAGATGTAAATATTTGAAAAACAAAATAAAGATGATGATGACGATGATGGAGAGATTTACATCGGAACTTTTCTTTATCCCCTCCTCCTCCCCCCATTGATCTCATCCAATTCTCTTTCTCATCATATTTTTTTATCCATTGATTCACCCTTTTATTTTCTCATTGTCTTTCATCATTTCATTTGTATTCTACTTTACTGCTTTTTGAGAAAATGAACAGAAAGAGTCTTTTCTTTATTTTACTAATTATTATTATTATTATTGCTGTTGCTATAAATAGTCATAGATACTCGTTGTATGTATCCACTATAATCCATTTAGAAACACGAACACACACACACACACACTCCTTCACTCTATTCAATAAATGGATAAAGAGGGCCAGTTCCATTCACTTGCTCACTTCCAATATATATATATATATATATATATATATATATATATATATATATATATATATATATATATATATATATGTCTTATTTGTAATCACATGAAGATTTAAATGTTTCTTTTGAGATACTCTGACTTTCCCACCCACCCTTTTTTCTTAGTTGAGATCGCAGGGAACAATTATCACGATGAGAAAGTTAATAACGAGTGTACACATCAGTGATGTTTTTCTATCTGTATTTCTGGGATGGGGGGGGGAAGGTTATAATTCCTTCTTAGACAAAGTGACCAACGGAGAGGAAATGTCGAAGAGAAATATTGGTGGGCGCTGTTTACTTACTTAGTTACTTGTTCGTTAGTTCACACACACAGAGATTCCCCTCCCCCCACATATTTATTTATTTATCAGTACGATATTTGTCTTATCCTATGAACTTTGTTTACACAATATTCGAGTTACTTTATCGTTCATTTGTCTACCCAGGATCTTTTGGAGATGTGATATTCAGAGCATTTTGTTTGCGTGTTGTCAAACTGAAGAATATTGGTACATGGATCAGATAGTCTTCTGTCTCATCGATGTGTCTGTCTCTCCTCTCTTGTTGCTATCACCATCACTGCCACTATCTCGGCGTTCTTTTCTTGAAAAAGGCATAAATCACTATGACCAAGTCATGCTTACTAATAATTATCAGGTTTATGTATTTTTATATGCGTCGATAAATAGAGGTGTGGAGTGTAATTTTTTTATCCCTTTAAAATCTTATACCATCGAACTGGAGCGTGTTAAACAGACGTTTTTCTTCCAGTTATTTCTTCTACATGCCTTATTGTTGTTATATTTCTCCTCAGTCTTTCTATATGTTTGTTGTTTACTTTTATCATCCTCTTTTTTCTTCAATCTCATTTTGATTATTTTAGTCAGACAAACTCGTGTTTATTTATTTATTTGTAGTGGAGTTTATTTTTTTATTATGAAGAAAAAACAAAAATAATGTTGTACTCAGAGGTACGTACGGTTTTTTTGCTTTGTTGCTGTTTTGAGTTCGCTTATTGTGAAAGTTACACTAGTTTAATAGAGTAGGTAAACACTGTGTATATGATGTTGCTTGTATTAGCCCGTTGTTGATTGGAACGAATTTGGTCGATCTCCATTGGCATATGGGCTCCCGAGCTGATGCCTCGGGATATTATGCATGGTTAGTGGGAGACGAAACGAAACGTAACCAGACATCTTGTGTATATCCATGTAGTAGGCAGTGAGCCACACCTGGCGCGTGAGAGCTAGTGATACTACCTGGCTGCCCAAACCTCAGTATCATCATCTATCAACATAAGACCAGGCATTACTGCCTAACGGTTCGAGTTGCCACACCTGATATCAGTATATCAAGTAAAAAGAAAGTGAAGTGGAAGATGAAGAAAAGAAAATTCAGTCAAAAGAAATATAAAGTACGAAAAGAGAGAAAGGAAGAAATGAGAAAATGATGAGATTCGGTATAGCGTCGTTAAGATGAGGATAGTGTATGTATACATCTGCACCACTGACATCGGTTCTGAGCCTAGAGTCACCTAGAGTCAGTCTCCAACCACTGGTTCCTCGTATCCCATCGACCCCAACAGGCTAGTCTGCACCCCCCCCCCACATGGCTTAAACCAACAGTCAAAGACTTCATACACTGATGCCATGTTTTAGTCTGGCCACCTCGGACCTTTTCCCAGCCTGAACCTACTTCGGCCAAAATTGTGTGACGAGGTAATCGGCAAGTGAGCATACACAACGCATGTCCCACCATCTCAATCGGTGAAGGTTCACAACCTCGTCAACCGATTTATCTCTACTCCCTAAAACTTTACACCTGACTTCTACTTTACTCAAGTGGAGGTGACACCACGGAATACGCCCTATACAACGAAGGCAACGGTGGTCGAGCATCTGAAGCCTTCTCATATCTTCCACTTTCAATTGCCATGTTTCACAACAATACAGTAGAACAGACCGGACTGCCGTGCAGTACACGCCACCCTTAATAGACAGTCGGATATCATGGCAGCGTCACAGGTGGCGTAAGTTGGTAAAAGCCAACCGAGCCTTTTGTATTAGTGCAGAAACTTCGTCGGTCACTGAGCCACCAGGGCTGATCCTTCTTCAACCAATACACTATTGTTAGCCGAAGCACCGTTGAAGACCAGTCCTGGAGCAACAATTTGCCTTCGGGTGGTGAGAACCGCATCCCCAACATTCTCAAATTGCCACTCAAAGTGTCCAGAGAACTCAGCATCTTGTCAGCGTCTTCACCTAATAGGACTATATCATCTACATATTCTAGGTCTAACAAAAATTCTCCTGTGATTAGGTCAACCTCTGTGTAATCAGGTGATGAGACGGAGAATATCTATGATAAAATTGGATGAGAATGGAGAGAGTGGGCAGCCGTGACGGATACCACTCGACGAGTACACCTCACCGGATATCTCACTATAGGCTCTAACACGCCTACAAGTGTTCGAGTAGAGAGCCTTCAATAAGGTGATGTACTTACTCGGAACACCTTTCAGTGAGAGACGTTGCTATAAGACTTCTCGATCAACGTAGTTGAATGCCGCCTTCAGGTCAAGAAATACAGCTAGCGTCCCTGTGTTCCAGAACCTGGCGCAGTGTGAATATTTGGTCAACACACCCTTGGCTGGGTCTAAAGCCTGCCTGGTTTTCTCGGGCTCGCTGTTCCCTAGCTCCACTCAGGCATCGAAGAATTATAGGACCTAGATACTAGAAACTTCGCAATAAACACCATAAACTTTGTTCTTTGGTATTTAGTTGCGATGATCCAAAAAAGTATAGTTATTATTGATGGACAGTAGCTAGCCGTGAAATCTAAGACCCCAGTTTCCTCCTGTTTGAGCTAGTCAACTGGTTGTACCTGCCTCCCAGTGAGTGTTGTTCCCACTGGGTCTCTAGCCCAGGACCGAACACTTCAAATGCCAGTTTGCTACCTACTAGGCCCCTGACTCACGATAGCCTCTTTATAGAATGTATAGAGCGTAGTTGCAATACTACGGCTTGTAACTCTTCATCATTGCCTGGACCGAATTGAACGACCACTATTGGTATATAGGCTGCTGTACGGATGCCTCGATATTGCTCCCGTAAACTCTAAACAGTATGGTCAATTTGCGAATGATATACAATCTGCGGTATCCTTGTCATGATATTGATAAAGGTTGGTTAGTTTTTCAACTGTGGTGTAAACGGAGTTCCCGTTTAAAACCACTCCACAGCCAAAGTTTGTGTCCCGGTATGCCCCTGATGAACTCTGCTGGACGTGTAGATTACTCTGATCTGGCCAGAAAACTTGTATTTTACGACTAAAGGGACATTTTTTTGGTAAGAGTAACCAGCTACAACAGTTCGCTTGGCATGGTAACAAGTAAAATTGAAATGTTCAATACTGCAATCAATGTAGACTTGGAAATAATTTCAAAACAATCAACACACACGACATAAAATTCGCAACTGACCAAAAAACGTTACCTACATTGAAAAATTGATATCTCAAGTCTGTAATCAAAAGGTTGTGTAGTTAACCTTGAATTGGCATTAAATTCGTCGGAAATATCATTATCCCTGTAAACCTTAGTGTAAAACAAACCCAGGGGAGGTAATGAGCGCGCATTGCTGAGGAATCTGTACCAGGACGAAACAACTGTTCAATGCTTCCGGGTTTCCAACGTTTCCCTATATGATGTCAGTTTATGATGAATACCAACCATAAATCAACAAATAAATCCCCACAAACCTCAAAATTGAATTAATCTAGGCCTGAGTTGTGACTAGCTTTTAGGGGTGATGCCCGAAGTTCCAATGAGAAGTCGTGACCTGTGGGATCAACCAAGTCGGACTTGAGGACAGATACTCAACGACGTCATTGGATTGAGGTCGCGCTATGTCATGAAGTGACATAAGTAGGAAATATGGACCCTCGGTTTCGTACCCAGCGGCTCAACAGAAGCGCGCTGGCCACGGAACCTGAAAGTTCTGGGTGCACACTGCTGAGGAGTCCCATACTAGGGCGAAACAGCTAACTAGTGCTCCTAGGTTTCCAATGTTTCTCCAGCTGATGTCAGTCCATCATGGACAATGACCTGAAATCAATCAATAAGTTCCCGCAAACCTAGAAACTGAAACAGGTTGGTTTATGCTGGGGGATGATTGAAGGTGAGATGAAAATCTGGACCGCGGACGGATTCGAACCAGCGACCACCGGGTCTCCAGCCGGATGCTCTGCCACCTGAGCTACAAGGTCCGACTGCTGACCAGATTTTTACCTTGCTTCGATCACCAAAAAAATTTGCCTGACTACCGTGTGAATTCGTGACGCGTTACTACCTCCTGGTCGTATTCACACTGGCTGCCTAGCCAGTCGGTAGAGCATCGGGCAGGAAATCCAGTGATCACTGGCTCGACTCCGGTTGCTGTCCACATTTTCATTTCACCTTCAACCACCACCCCGTATCCATTGATACTTGTAATTTCTCACTGTTATATGGGATTGAATTTATCTGTGTTGGTTGGTCGGTTTCATGAAGTGATGCTTCAAAACTGCCTGAAGATTCGTTATGTCAC